ATAACCAGAGCAAGCCAGGTACTTGTGGCTCATGCCTATAATCCTAGTCTGAGTTACTGAGATCTGAGAATTGAGATTCAAAGGCAGCTGGGGGAGAAAACTCCCTGAAACGTTTAGCTCCAGTTTACCAGCAAAAAAGCCAGAGGAGGAGCTGTGGCTCAAGTGGTAGAGTGCCAGACTTGTGTGGAAAAAGCTAAATGACAGTGCCCAGGCCCTGAAGTCAAGCCTCCCTTCCTCCACCAGAATATATACATACATATGCAAATAACCACAACAAAAAGTACTGGAGGTGTGGCTCAAGTGATAGATTCTTGCCAAGTGGGTTGCCTTGAATTCAGGCTCTATAATGCCCCCCCCCAAAAAAAAGTATTCCATTTGTTCATGGTGCCGCATGCCTACATATCCCAGCATTCTAGAGTCTAAAGCAGGAAATGATTAGTTCAAAGCTGGTCTGGCTACATACCAAGACCAAGATCCTATTTCTAGTGAAAATATACTGGGGTTTTTATTTGGGGTCCAATGTATTTTATGCATCTTTTCTGTCTTTGGGTAATGTTTTTTGTCATTTTATTTATGATGTCTCTTAGATATATGTTTTGATTGTGATGTAAACTGGTATCATTTATAACCCTAGTACTTTGAATTTGTTGTGCTTCTCAAGAAATACAGCATCTTCATAGCCTTTATAAATCAAATTTGGTGATTTTTTTTGATGATTTTTTTCTTTATTTCTTCTCCACTATATTTCCTATATTTTTCTGTGCTTTCTGTCCTGTGGGAACTCAAATTACCCTGAAATTGTTCTCTAACTTACTGACAGTCATTCACATTTACTTCCTCATGTTTTATTTAAGGTAATATTTTATTATTATGTTTTCCAGTTTACTGTTGTCTTTCAGCCATGGCAGTCAATTTTTTTACCTTGATTTGGAGATTAAATTTAATTATAATGTCCTCTACTGATTATATATCATTGTTGTCATAAAATGTCTCCAGAAATAATGTCTGTTTCTGTTGATTTTTTTCTTTGTTTTTTTTTCTTTGTTATTTTTGACATTTTGTTTCAGCATCAGTCCTTTGTAACTTTATTCTGTTAAATGTAAAGCATTGTTCTATATTTCATTTAAAATTCTTGAGATTTCTTGGTGTTTCAGGTACATTACTTGGCACTTCTTTGTGACTTTCATTGTTTTTGTTTTTAAAGTTTCATTAAGCAGAATGATCTTTAGTTTAGAGCCAGTTTTCTCCCAGCTCCTTAAGCCAGTCAGTCCTTTTCTGAATATTTTACTTGATAGATATTCTATTAATTAAAATGTTTCTCTGTTTTGTTTGGTGAACACAAATGATTCTTAGCCCTGTGTCAGCTTTAAGGGTCATTTGCTTTTTGTTACTTTCAAGTGACTCTCAGGCTTCTTACAGTTTTCTCATATACGCATAGTGGTTAGTATTTATCTGGAGACCCTCTCCAGATCTCCACAGATCTTTCCTGTATAGCTGTCTTCTGTCTGATATTCTAGTATAGTGTGCTTACTCTGCTTACCATGGACTACCCTAAATATACTTTAATTTACAGAGATTTTGGGGTTCTTCCTACTTGAGCTTTTCTTCAATATATCCCAGTCTGTTCAAGCAAGGCTCCCATCAGTTCTTTCTTTATGTCTGGAAATCATTGTTTAGTGTATATGTGTGTAGAATAGATAGACAGATAGTCTGCTTTCGAAAAAAAATTTCTTGTTTTTTTTTAAAAAAATTTATTTTTCTCCCTCTGTGGACAAGGCCTAAGCTGGCCTCTAAGACTTTCTGGCATAGTACTTTGTCCACTTTTGAAATTGTCTTGGTGGGTTGGGGAGTATATTATTCTACTGCTGTTCCTTCATCTTAACTAGAAGTTGAAGTCTTAAGATTGTTTATAATTTAGTTGATAAAATAGATGAAGAGGGGCTGGGAAGGTGGTTCAGTGGTATGCATGCCTTGCATGCATGAGGCCCTGGGTTCGATTCCTCAGCACCACATAAGCAAAAAGAAAAAAGCCGGAAGTGGCGCTGTGGCTCAAGTGGTAGAGCGCTAGCCTTGAGCTGAAGAGCTGAGGGACAGCACCCAGGCAGAGTTCAAGCCCTACAACTGGACACCCCCCCCCCCCCCCAAAAAAAAAAAATAGATGAAGATCACACCAGGTAAAGAAAATAGCTTTTATGTTGAGGTTTAGTCATGGCTCATATTAGGCATATGTAATCTTATAACACAAAAATCTCAATATATATAAATCCAAACTCTGATCTTAGAATTTACAGTAATTTTGAAAAAAATATAAAACCGTACAGATTTGTAAATGAATTCCAATTAATGATTGGACTAATTACAGTATCTATCTTATTTAACATAGTTCAAAATATTGGATCATTTCTTTGAATTCTCTCCCATAAAATCCTCTAGAATCTAATAGTCCCATAAATATATCAATTATTCATCATCTTAGCTGGGGAAACAAATTTAGATACTATATTATTCCTTTATTGTTTAATCTGTATGGAACATTAATGAGATAGGAAGTTTTGCATTCTTTTTTAAGCGAAAGTAATGGAAATTTAATTCAAAAAGGAATATACTTTTCTGAAAGCATTCTCCAGGGAGAATGATGGAAATTCTTTTTTGAAGAGAAAAGAATAAAGAATTACTGAGAGGGTGATTGGGAACACAGGAAATTTTAAACATTCTACAGGAATGAAGGGACCATGCTAAAACTAAAAGAATATTAGTAGTGTGAAGAACTTGAAGTTTGAGCCATTCTTGTCTCCTATTAATATCACTATGGGCCACTTATATGTGCTTATATTTAAGATAGTGATTTATTTTGTGAAAAGCATTCAGTTAACAAATATTGAAGGAACAAGAAACGTAAAATCATCATAAGAATACTAATATAATAGTTGCTGTAGACACTAACCATGGATGAATACTGTAATAAGTTAATGAAAACTTAAGCAAGTATTTCCATACTTTGAGAGCCCTTCAAAACATTTTAAATTAAAAAATAATAGTTTATACTGGGCGCTCTTGGCTCCTGCCTGTAATCTTAGCCACTCAGGAAATTGAGATCCTAGGATCACAGTTGGAAGTGAGCTGGAGCCAAAATGTCCCTGAGACTTTTATTTCCAATTATCCATCAGAAAGCTGGAAGTGGACCTGTGGCTCAAGTGGTAGTCACTATCTGTTAGCAAAAAGTTCAGCGTCAGCACACAGGCCCTGAGATCAAGCCTAGCACAATGGAGAACAATGGAAATTTTATCCCCTTCACCAAGATCAAGGTTAATGTTCCCTATAATAAATATTATTTATGTACTAATATTGGAAATGTGTGTAGTATATAAACTGCACTTGAGAAGGGTGTTATCACCTTTAGTGATGTGACATTGAAATATGTAACTTCAATATGGTTATGAGAAAACAGACAAGCCAAAATTACAGGACATCCTAATATATCTGACATTAAATGTCATGAGAAGACTCAAGTAAAGTCTCAAGATGAAAATGACAAAGGTAACTTAGAAAAAATGGTTGGGGAAGGGGTACTTTGAAATAGGGAGGTTCTCACTGATTGATTACCAGAAGTAGGTAAAGTAGGAAACCATTAGATAAATCTAAAGGAACAGCATTCCTAAAGGATAAAACAAGTGCAAACACCTGGAGATGGGTCCATTAAGGGGAAAATCATAGTGAATGAATTGAAGAGTAGGTCTTTAGACCTTAGCAATAGCATAGGAAACTACTATAAATGTGTTTTGCTTTTCTTCCCTTTTATTTGTAATGTTCATGTTTTCTGAATAATTGGGTGGATTAAACACGGAGTCTGAAGAGTAAAATCCAATTATATAAAACACTTTGTATAGTACAGTGCAGTGAATGTTTATTGAATTAATTTACATGGACAGATGTTTAGAAGTGTTTTAAAGTTCAGTATACCCTTGCTGAAAGAATACTTTCATTTTTAGCTTCTTCATGCTTCATTTAGGATTTTGATATATCTGTATAATTTTGTAATATAAATATTATAGGGTTGCCAATTGCAATGTCTGTGCTATTAAGTATTGTCTTGAAGAAAATTAGCATGTATTTTTATTAATATTTATACTAGAATTCATTTTTCTCTGAAGTAATTTACTTTATATTAAACAAGGATTTATAGTTTTATAAAAGCGAGTAGGAGTTGGGAATGTACTCAGTAGTTGAGTACTTACCTAGCATGTATAAGGCCTTGACTTTAATCTTCCACACTGTAGCAATAATAAAAAACAGTGAACAAATTTTATATTTCTTTAAAAATTCTATAAAATATTAAATTTTCTTCTAATTTTCTCTATTTCTCATGAGAGATATCTTTTATCATGAAAGGATCTTTAAAAAATAACCAATATAGAAAACAAATTAATTTCCTCCCAAGGAATATACCTGAAGTCATCTCTAGTTTACTGGTCCATTCTTTTTAGGAAGTATATCTCATGTAGTCTGACTTTCATTGTGCTGGTTGATGGTGTTAGCATACCTGAGAGCCTTAGCACTCAGGAGAGCAAGAGACTGAGGAATGACTAGGCAGTTATTTGAACATATTGTACATGTTTTCATGATGGCCAGGTAAGCACCATCCTTGAATATTCTGGGCAAGTGTACAGTTTTATATAGAGAATGCTGCCTTTTTGTTTGTTTTATTAGTACTTTAAATCAGTCTTGAAAAAGGATTCTGGGGTTGGATGATAAGTAATGAAGGTGAACAGGGAGTCAATATATAAACTGGATGTTCAGATCTTTATAGCATGATTTCCTTATTTTTCAAAGAGCAGAAGAATCCCATCGTTTATCATGTTCTGGTTGGACTCCTTTCTTATCGTTTGCTGGAGTTTGAACTTCAGAGCTATGGTGTCAACCCTGCTGTAATATCTCAGGGGAGCTCCTAGTGTGGGGCTGGTGCCATGGCTCACCCTCCAACCTTTCCTTCTTCACTTCAGCCTCCAGCTCTGAGCTTTCCAATCCCCAGAGTAGCAAATGTTGAAAGAAGTTGCACAGGTAAGTATACAGTGGGAAACAACTTGGGGAAATACTGGTGTTTTTGAAAGTAGATGTTGGGCCATTTAACCAGTGAGTCATTTTGTTAGTTTACAAATGTTTCTTCAGAAAACTGTCTTGAAATTATTGAAGTCTGTTCTAAGAAATTTTTAAGTGGAACAAACCATTAATATTATAATGCAAAGAAACTTGTTTTTTTTTGTTTTTGTTTTTTTTACAAATTTTGTATTCTCCACATAGTATATCAGAAACAGAAAACTCATGTTCAAAAAAGAAGCTAAGACAAAAAAGAAAAGGCATGAACTGAACTCATTGAAGACAGTTTTGCCATATGTAATAATCTCAGAAGGTGGCAATCTTAACATTTCCATGGTATTAAATATGCTGTTTTCTTTCCAAAGGTTTTAGGCAGGTAGTTATGATTTTTACTCTTTACAAGAAAGAAACTTCAATCACCTTTTTATTTGAACTCCTGAAGGAAGACTGAAACTCTTCTCTCATCTTTACATTGATAGTTAACAAAAATAAGTATGTATTAGGAGAAGGCACAGTATATGGTACACAGTTCAACTGTTTGTTGAATAAGCTAATATATTAAGCCAAGTCCTAGTATGTAGGAGAGCAAAATGCCAGTATTCATTGCATTTTTCTGTTTATCTTAAGGCATGATGTTTAAAAGTAATATTGAAGGCGTATAACCAGAGTCTTTATTACCTCACTTACTGTTACTACTTTTTGAGGTTCTTGTTTCTCAGAAAGATTTTGAAAATTGTTTCTTTAGATCTCCCAGATTTATTTCATATCATTCATATTGCAGTGATTTGTAAATTCTTTAGTGTATAATAAATTAGAAATTAAGCCCAGGATAAAACATGAAAGATACAAGATATCAAAATATCATCTGCATATTACTTGCTTAGTTTCAAAGAAGAAAGGCTAAATTGCTTTAAAATATGAAGAAAACACTTGGGAGATTGCCTATCAGACTTAAAAGGATTTTGAATTGATAACATTGACTTTTTAAAATTGAGGTTATTAATTCAATTCCAGATACCAAAAGCAACATTTTGTCTTCAAATACCCTATTCCTTCTATTAGATCATTTCTTGATTCTGAAACCTTTAGTGAAGACTGTTCTAGTACTTATTGAAGACTGTCCTACATTGTACTGTATTACCCTGAGTTGTTTCCTTAATTGAGGGTGGAATGGGGTTTCAGCATCTACAGAATCACAGGGATAGGCACGTTTCAGGGTCCCTTTGAGACCAAGGGGATTATATTTGTTTTGTTTTGAAATATAAGGGTCATTGCAGAACAAAGAATAACAAGGTGGGTAAAACTACTGGTTAAAACAATGTATTTTTAATGCACGATATGTAAAAAGCAGAATAAAGGAGGTTAAAATTAAAAGAAAAACAATTCAGGAAAACCACATTCTAAATATGGTCTGTGACTGATAACATTTCTTCAGATAGTGTGTGAGCATAAAGAGATCAGGATACCAAGTATTTGGCACTTTAGGTCTAAAAATACAGATTTCTCATTAGTTTATCTTCCCATTTTCTCTTAAGTTCTATAATTTTTTTATTTTTTATCGGTCATGGGGCTTGAACTCTGTGCCTGGGCACTGTCCCTCAGCTCTTCAGCTCAAGGCTAGCACTCTACCAGTTAACCATAGCTCAAGGTTTTCTGGTGTTTAATTAGAGATAGGAGTCCAACAGACTTTCCTGCCCAGGCTGGCTTTGAACTGTGATCTTCATATCTCACCCTACTGAGTAGTTAGGATTATAGGTGTGAGCCACCAGCACCTGGCATAAATTCTACAATTTTATCAAGGCTATAAAATGTGTCCCTCAGCAAGTCTGCCTTTTTTCAGTGGACATTTAAAGTCTCTTTTTCCCAGCCTTTTGTATTAGACTAGTTCCCCATTCCTCAAGAATTGGCTTAAGATATTTACTTGTTTTTTGTTTTTGTTTTTGTTAGTCATGGGGCTTGAACTCAGGGCCTGGGTGCTGTCCTTGGGCCCTTTTGCTCAAGGCTGTCATTCTAACACTTTGAGCCACTGTGCCACTTTTAGTTTTTGAGTAGATAATTGGAGATAAGAATCTCATAGGGACTTTTCTGCCTGGCCTGACTTTGAACTGTGATCCTCAGATCTCAGCCTCTAGAGTAGCTAGGATTACAGGTTTGAGCTACCAGTGCCTGGCTGATGTTCACTCTTATTCAAATATTTCCTATATGTGTAGTGGATTTGGTTTGTATCCAAAGCTTAGTGGCTTCTTTTTATGCTGTTATTTATCTTCCCATTTGTATTTTATAACTTCATATCCTAATATTTTATGAAAAAGTACTTAATTTAGGCTGTATTACAAATTTGTAACCACTGTTTTTAAAGGATATTTATTGCAGTTAATGCTTTAGTTAGCATATGGTTATATACTTTTTCCCTATAGATTAGCACTTTTTTAATGACTAGAGCTTTGTTTTTACCATGTTATACTTACCCTCTTCTTCCTCCACCCCCTTGATAATATTGGGGTTTCAACTCAGGATTTAGAGTTTACTAGGCAGGTTATCACATGAGCCACTGTTAATAGTCCTCTACTTGTAAAGCTTATCATGTTGGAGATTTTAATTTGAATCTATATGAGGCTTACTAGTACAGCCAGTAAAATTAAGATATTAAGATTTTGAAGAACCACAAAATCAGTTTATTCTAGTTGAAGCATTTATAGCACACTGTCTCTAGATTAAAGTCAGATATCAGAGAATCCTTTATAGAGGAAACACTCTTCAGTTTGCAGATTTTGGGGTGGCATAAGTGGTGTGATGTATGTGTTTTGTTTTTGAAATATGAGTTAAACATGCCACTTTGCAGTTTGGGATTAGGAAAAGTAGTATTTCCCCCTTTCCCTTCCTCTCTGTCTTTCCTTCAGGCACATGCCATCCTGTACTTTGGATAAGCCCTCCAGAAATACACAAAACATTTCTTTAATCTTTGAAAAAACTTATCTGCTCTTCAAAATGATGATTATAGAAATGTTTATACAGGTCCTAATTTTTTGCTAAAGCACATTTTCAGCCAGTCATATTTGCTGTGCATCTACCTGTTAACTTTTTGTTTTAAGGGGGAAGAAGGTGCCAGTAAACTTGAAGTTTTCTAGTAACATCGCCCCAGATTATGAACTTCAGTGACAACACAAAGTCACAGTCTGTTGCTGATGTTTCAGAAGAGTATTTATAAAAATTCATGCCATCTGCTTATGACCTTAACTTCAGTTCTTTGGTAGCATAAATTGCATTTAGTTAGCAATAGCCATGATAAGAAATGACTAAGTAAGGAGTCTTTAGTTTCCCTTTCTTACATGATAAGCAAGAAATGTTTCTCTCTTTTTCTGTTTCTCCCCACTTTAACTCTGTTATACTAAATCCTTGCCAAAACTTTAACAACAACAAAAAAGTTTGCTTAAATAACATGCATCTATTGTTTAAATAAAATTTTCCCCATAGGGCAGGTATTTTCTTGTATTGGGGTTTTCTGAGAGTTGTTTCATAAAAACAGGCTTGGAAGGGGACACCATTGGATCAAATTGTTAATATTCCAAGAAACTTATTCTGAAGAGAACTACAGTCATTTGAATTCAGAGTTTCTAGTATATTTTTTCCCCAAGTTATGGCAGAATTTCCTTCAAGACATTGTAAGAAATTACAGATTTAGAAGTTTATCTGAACTTTTAATTTTCATAGCTCCAAGCAGATGGATTCTTGAGCATTTCAATACATTTACCATATTAGAACAGTATTTTAGAACAAAGAGACTTTGAGTAATATGTTTATGAAAAGCAATAACCAAGTGTGTCTAATTTTGTTTTGTTCTTTGCTGTTATACTTGATTCTTTACTGCTTTTCTGTGTAGTTTAGGAAGAAAACATACTAAACTAAATTGCATTTTGAGTCTTTTAGTTATAATGGCTAAAAGGAAGACTTTATTAGATTGGGATCAAAATTCATCTATTTACTTATAAGTTGTATAACTTAAGGCAAGTTACCTTCTCCATTCCCTAGAGTTTTCCCAGCTGCAAAATAGGGTTAGTAATTGTTATTCTGTACTAGCATAATGATTATATAAATGAGATAGCATTTAGAATATTTCCTGATGCATGGTCAATAAAATAAATTTTATTGTGTAATTATTGTTATGACAAAATATTTTTAGTGACTAAGCAGGATTCCTAAGTTAGTATGAGAGTTTCAAAGAACCATAGAGGAAGAATATTTTGAACAGAAGTATTAGCATATGCAAATAGACTTGAAGTTGAAAAGAACTTAATGTACTTGGGTAACTGAATATGTGGCCAGACTTTAGTGTTGTGAAGGGACCAGGAAAGAGATATGGTCAGAAAGATTACTGAGGGCCCTATGAGGTATATTGAAATTTAGAAATTTTTACTTACAGGTATCATCATTTGGAATGGTGTGGGAAAGCAGAACAAATAAAAGTAGATTGAAAGGTCTATATGGAGATTGTTCAAGTTGCCTATTCTAGTAAATAATAGAGAAAATTGAGATTACAAAGATTTTGAAGAGGGGGATCTGGTATTGTTTATCACCTACATTTTTATATTTAGTTTTGCTGCCTATCCTTTGACTCTCATACTTGGTCCTTCTAAGGGGCCTGATTTCCCAGTTAGCACTTCTCTTCCAGATACTTGTTGTGTTCACTATACTGAGTTTTGATATCTGATAAATTCTGTCATTTCTGAGATTTGTTATCTCCTCCATAGAATCATTCAAAACAAAAGCCAAGTTATGTCATTCTTGAACTTTTTCCAGATATCTCTGGATTTTCCATCTCTCACAGAATAAAGTCCAAAGCCACTCAGAAATTCAGGGTAACTCGGTAATCTTGCTCTTAGCTAGTAACTTGAAGTTAATGTACTCAGCAGTAAGTTCAAGTAGTTTCAGTCATACCATGGAGGGTCTTGCTGTCTCATTCTTAATTGATCCTCTTGCTACAAGTATATGCCTGTGTAGTTCCTTTATTTCTCTGCTTTAAAAAAAAAAGAAAACAAACAATTCTACCATCCATACCTATTCTGTTCCATTATTGTATATAGAATAAAGGAGAACCCTTTAAAATTAAATCTAGCTTTATAAAAAAAAACTGTTGTCACTATTTTTTTCTTTCTAATTATGCCTTGGATCAGAATTGACTCATCCCAGTACCCTTCATGGTCTGGGGTAACATTTAGGGAGCAGAGTGTTCTATTCTTCCCTCTCTTTGTGGAATTCCTTAGTATTCTCACTAATGTGTGATTTCTGTGTTGAAGCCACACAACAAAAAAAAAAAGAATTCTCTCTCCCTCTTCTGACCCCTTTCCTACTACACATACACTTGAGAAACTCCAGTGTTGGTCTAAAATGAACATTTCTGTGATTTTCTTTTGAGACATTTTATCTTCCACAGTGTTAAGCATTGATTTTTACAATTAATTACAGTTTTTGAATTCTAGAAGTTTATCGTTGGTTTTCATGATAAATACACAAACTGTCAAAAGAAGAGTTAAGTTTGAACTATTTGAATTTTATAAAATTTGGTGAGAAATGCCCTGATATTCACCTGAAACTTCATTGAATTTTGTATTTTTATGCTATTTTTTCCATATTCTTAGAGTTAGAATTTAACTATAAAGGTCCTATAAAGAGAATTAAATATATTCTTAATGCTTATAAAACACTTAAAAATCTCATATATATTATTAATTTTCAAACAGTGAAGTAATTTATTGCTACAATTTATTTGCTGAAGTTCAACTCACTGAACCCTCCTCTCCTCTAAAAAAGACACTTTTTGCCTTTGTTATGGAGTACTTAGAAGTTTGGTGGGTAGGCATGTGAGTCCTGATTCTGAAATTATGTTCAGAATCATAGAAGAGTTTTTATGAGTTTTATCCAGAAAGTCCATCCATTTCTGCAAGAAGATTAAGTATTTACCATTTAGTGACTTAACAGACTTCCCAAAAAAAAGTCTGTTACTTAACACCAAAAGAAATCAGTAGCCTAAAAACATACAGGAACTTAATCATTATGGTGTTTTTAAGATTATGTCTACTTGAGTAGATCTTTCTCAGTCTTTGTTTAGGAAGAATAGTTGAGTAATTGTATATTCTACAGATTTAACAAGCAATTTAAGGTATGAATTGATTATTAAATAGAGAATAGATGCTTTCAGCCAAATTTCACAGAAAATTGGACTTTATGGTGTACATTTTATCATGTCTTGGTAAATAACATTCGACCATAGTTCTTTATCTAAAAATAAGAAAAAAAGGAAACACTTTTTATTTGTAATGGAAAATATATCCTAAATCATAATGAGTGTACAGATATCACATTTAAGGTGACTTTCCCTTCAAGATGGTACTTGTGAAAATATGTAGCCATCATATTCAAATCTTCAGGGCAGGGAAGGTGGCTCAGTGGTAGAGCACTTGCCTTGCATGCATGAGGCCCTGGGTTCGATTGCTCAGCACCACATAAGCAAAAAGAAAAAAAGCCGGAAGTGGCACTGTGGCTCAAGTGGTAGAGCGCTAGCCTTGAGCTGAAGAGCTGAGGGACAGCACCTAGGCCCAGAGTTCAGGCCCATGACTGGACCCAAAAATAAAAATAAATAAATATTCAAATCTTTACAAATTTCTATATCATTTGGCATTTCAGTTTGCTTTGAATTTCAACTGTACTCTCAGGGAGAACACATTGGCCTTAAATTAATGCAATCAGTTGATAGTTTTAGAAACACTAAAGGAAAAAAATAAAAGCCCATAAGAATTAGCACAGATTTTAGAAATTTTAGGATAGACTCCAAGGTGGTAATGTTGTGATAAAGACTTCATAAACAAAAAAGCAAATAATAAATAGAAAAGGTCATAAGTTTATATAGATATGATGAATGAAAATGACTGTTGTGGCCTAAGATTTCTTGTATGCCATTACTCATTAATCATTTAAAAATGCTGTATCTCAATGAGTTGGATTATAAGAAAAATAATATACTTTTGGAAAGCAATTTTTTTTAAAGTAGGTTTAGTAATGACATACACTAATAATGAAAGATACTTTTGAAGAGTCTGGATAATATCTAAACTTCAAAGAAAATTTTATCCATGGAAAATATATATTTGGGACTATCATTTTTCAAGATTAGGCTATTTTAACTTAAAGTAAGCAGAACTGTTGCATAAGACAAACTTTAAGATTAACTTCTTTCTTTCAGAACCTAGAAATAAGCTTCAGTTAGAATCAGATATCTAACATCATAAGCCCATCGGCCCTCAACTGATCAATTTCTAGATCTCAACAGTGCTTTTTCTTCTGTTTTTCACCTAAGAGTAAGGTTAAGCTGGACATTTTCCAAAATACTATTCTTGATAAAAGTAATATTTTTGTTTAGGTGACAAACAGCATGTTTGGTGCTTCAAGAAAGAAGTTTGTAGAGGGGGTCGACAGTGACTACCATGATGAAAACATGTACTACAGCCAATCTTCTATGTTCCCACATCGGTCAGAAAAAGATGTAAGTTAATCAGTTACATTGTATTTACTCAGCAGTATCTGTCTGTTTCTGGGTCCTGAAAAGTCATTTTTAGTTTCAGGGTATTATCTGTGATCCAGTGACCCTGTGTTAAGGCATAGTGCTAGGCTGTGGAAATAAAGACATATTCTAATGGGAAATGAATGGAAAATAAATGTCTTGTGGTTCTTCAGTTGAGATATCATAATACTATGGTAGGAATGGAATAAGCATCATATAGCTTTTAGATCATCTTTTTATTTAACATGGAAAGTAACTTCTTTGCATTACAGTAAATATATACATACTAAACAGGAAACAGATAAAAGGATATTGGTGAGCTTCCATGAAACAACCTTACTGGGCGCTGGTGGCTCACACCTGTAATCCTAGTTACTCAGGGGGCTGAGATCTGAAGATCACAGTTCATAGTCAGCCGGGGGAAGGAAAGTCTGTGAGATTCTTATCTCCAGTTAACCCTCAGAAAACTGATAGTGGTGCTGTGGCTCAGAGTGGTAGAGCACTAGCTCTGAGTACAAAAAAGCTCAGGGACAGCACCCAGGCCCCGAGTTCTAGCCCCACAACCAACAAAAACAACAAATAAAACCCCATTATCCTTACTGGGTAATCTTCTGACTCATAACCTAGACCTTAGAATACCTTCTTTTTCAGCTCTAGGGGTACTTATATAGAACGTATTTGAAGAAATATATTCTAAATTTTAGAGCTAGGTACATAGCCCTAGTAGTAGAATGCCTGCCTATTATAGAGATGTGAACTGTGTGCTTTGGAATGCTAGTATTTCTGTAATTTTTTTTTTTAAATAAAAAGGCTTAGAATGAGCTGAGCACCCGTGGGCTCCATGCCTGTAATCTTGGCTACTCAGTAGGTTGAGATCTGAGGATCAAGGTCCAATTCCATCCCCTGCAGACAAATCTGAGAATCTTTTTACCTTCAGTTAACCAGCATAAAGTGGGAACTTGGGTCAAATGTTAAAAAGTCAGCCATGAATAAAAGCTAGAGGCCAAGTTCCAGCCCTCACTACTGGCACCAAATAAAACAATACTAACAACAAAAACACAAATAGAGCTTAGAACACAGCCAAGTCATAAGTAGCGAATTTCTAAAAGATTTAAATGAATTCATTCTTTTCAAATTTGATTAAACTTTAATTTTATACTCTTTACACCCTTTGATCAAACCAGATACTTTGTATGTGCCCTGGTCTTTTCATTTCAAACTTTACGAATTTGCTTGCGTGTCTATAGAACAATCTCCTGTGGTTATTAACCTTATGATACTCTTAAATGATTTAAACCTTACAATGCTCTAAGGTATGTAACAAATATTGTCCTCATTCATTCAAGTTAATTTTAATAAATCATTTACTGTGTCTTTTTAGGTTGGCTTCACCTAGATTTAAGTCAGGATTTTAGCTTTGGTCTTTGGTTCTCTCATCATCACCCCAGTTTTAGTATTTCCCCCATCCCTTTTATTTCATTTGAAAATTATATGACTTTGGAAAGAAACAATTACTTTCTTGGAGCTATTTTCAAATTAAGTTTGTGATGATTTAGTTTATGATTAGTGTATACTTAAATACCTTATGGAGCTATGTCATCTAATTTTCTGTTATCTTTATTGCCCGTCAGTTATTAATGTAAAGTATATTGAATTATTATTTATGTCTATGTTTACAGATAAAAATTGGGGTTATTTGATAATATTGTTGCAGAAACAATCAAACTACTACTTAGGGTATGTTACTATGATTTTATAATCAAAGTTAAGTTTGATAGAAAAATGGTGATAAAATATTACTGATGAAAGCAGTTCTAACAAAGAAAATATGAAGATTTGCAACTACAACCTAGGATTAGAGCGTGTGTAAAAAAAATGAACCATGGCTGGGTGCTGGTGGCTCACACCTGTAGTAGCCTTGAGTGGAAAAAGCTCAGGAACAAGCAGCTAGGCCCTGAGTTCAAGTCTGCAACTGACAAACAAAGAGCTCCAATATCTGTTTTCTAGAATGCAATACATGTGGCTGAGTTTTAGTATCAGTACAAACACTCAAACTTATACTCAATGTTTTACTCCAAGAAATTTTTGGTTTTAAATAAATAAGGTAACAAAACATGTAAATTACGTACTTGGACTCTAAAGCAATGTAGATATTTTTTTGTATCCTCAGCAAGAATGTTCTAATAGCAAGAATGTTCTCTGATTCTTAGTTTTTTTCAATTCTAAAATGATAATTACATATGCTCTTGGTGTTTTAAAATTATGTAAATTTCTGTAATGTATAGTGTCATAATTTGTACCAGAAAGTCTGTACCAGTTTTTACTTCTTTAGCACTCTTTATGCCATTGAGAATACCAGCTATTAGCCTAGTGCTGATGGTTCATGTCTGTAATTCCTGCTACTCAGGAGGCTGAGGTCTGAGGGTCAGGGTTTGAAGCCAGCCCAGGCAGGAAAGTCCGTGAGACTCTTATCTCCAGTTAACCACCTAAAAATCAAAGTGGTTCTGTAGTTCAAAATGGTACAGTACTAGCCTTGTGTAAGAAAACTCAGGGTCAGAGTTCAGGACTTGAGTTCAAATCCCTGACTGACCAAAAAAAAAAAAGAATACCAGCTTTTTTGTGTCTTGCTAGTAAACAAATATTAAATGTTTTCATGTACATGTATTTAAATATCACTAATTTTACACATGTACACACAGGGAACAATATGACTTTTCTGTGTAGTTATTTCCCATTTGTCTTTCTTCCTTTGTGGATTACCTATTTTTGTGTCATTTCTTGTTTCTTTATTAAGTCTCAGTATATTCTCCATATATTGAAGTTAGTAACCTCTTATTTGATAAGTATTTAAATATTTTATTAGTTCTCACCGTTAGCTTGTTGTGCATATATAATATATAGTATACAGTTTGTCTTTCTTTTTTTTTTTTTTTTGCCAGTTCTGGGACTCAAACTGTCTCTGAATTTTTTTGTTAAAGACTAGAGCTCTGCAATTTGAGCTACCACATCTCCAGTTACAGCTTTTAGAGATAAGAGTTTCATGGACTTTGCTGCCTGGGCTGGGTTTGAACTGTGATGGTTAGATCTTAGCCTCTTGAGTAACTAAGATTACAGTTGTGAGCCACTGTTGCCAGTCAAAATTTATTTTTAAACTGGTACATAATGACCTAAAACTTACTGCTATGAATGGTATACTTTGTGATTATTTCAATACATGTAAATAGTGTATAATGTTTAAATAATGTTAAATGTGTCTCCTCAAACATTTAACATTATGGAATTTTTTTAGTGTTTTTTGTTTTTGAGATCATGTTTAGACTTTTTCCAGTATTTCTGGCACTTTCATGTTTTATTTCTCACTTAGGAATTTATGCCTGTTAAGAATATGTATGTTTAAAGTATGAATTGTAAGGTGTATCAGAATTTTTTCCCTCTTGAGCTGCTATCCAGTTGTTCCAACACCATTTTCTACGTTAGGTCATGAGTAGAAAACTTTTCTTAAAAAGACCAGGCTTTGTGGATGAATTAAAGTTGTGGATATTGTATATTCATTTATAATGTAAAAAAATGTTCTGTTGTCATGCACTCCACAAAAGTAATGTGCCAGATTTAGCCCACATGTTGTGATTTGCTCACAACTAAATTATACCATTTATTTATGGCTAATTGAAATCTGAATATATAGTAGTATCTGATATTCTGGACCTGTTTTTAAGCTCCTTCTTCTGCTTTGTCATAATGTTTGTGTCAAAACTAAAAGTTTTAATTACTATAGCTTTAGCTTTATAAAGACCATTAGAACATCTGAAAGTCCTCTATATCATTTTTCCTTTCATAAAAATATTTTAAACTATTGCCTATCTTTACCAATATTAACTTCTTTTCAGAAGGATAGCTCTATAATCCTGCTAATTTTTGTGTCTTTTAAAAGGATTGTTTATAGTTGCCATTTTCATGCTTTTTCCAGATTGATTTTTTTACTCATTTATAGAATACTCTGTGTATGTAATACTTAGTTTATATCCAACTGTCTTAACAACACTCACGTTAGTTTTTGGTGGAAGAATATACACTATTGAAAATCCTACGAGTTTCTATCTCAGCTATATTATTATGTGTAGTAGGGTATATTACTAAGTTTGTGTGTATCTCATTTTTTTATCTAACATTACTCACGTGTAGGTGAAAGGATTAAATAACTATAAACTTGTAGATTATTAATTTTCAAAAATGTTTCTATACATGAGTATCAGAATTCCTTTTTGATCTCTGGTTTTAAAGGTTTTAGATATTTGTATAATGTATGTATGTGTGTATATACATAAATATCTACAAATAATTGGATAACTCTTTGGGAGTAATATACTCTAAACTAAAATCTAGACTTAATATATGCATTTTAGTCTTATAACTCTGAGTGTGTACTCATTTTGATGATATATAAGCATAATAATATGAAAACAAAGTTATGGGGACCTCTTGTTTAACATTATCTCAAAAGATATGAAATATGACACCTTCACTGTTTACTTTAAAAAAATTGAAAACTATAAAGAGTAGGTTGTATACTTATTCTGGGAAGTTAATTTGAATTTATGTAGTATTAGCCTACAGTGCTTTAGATAACAAAGATTTTCTCATGATAGTGGTAGTTTGTACCATTGGTATTTAACTACATATACAAAGAAGTTTGGTTGAGTCTCCAGCTATTTGAATCCTTTTCTCTCTCAGGAACATGGTGCTTTCAGCATTTACCATAATTTCCTCTCTTGCTTACATCTGGGTCTCTGCTAAAATATCCTATCTGAGAAGCCATTAATGCCAATTGAAGATTTTTGAACTTTTTGGATTTTGGAAATTTGAATTACAGAGAGATGTTCAACCTGTACAAGCAAGATTTTTTTCTGTGTCTCTCTATCCTGGGGTTTGAATTCGGGGGCTTGAACACAGACATGGGTGCTGTCCCTAAGCTTTAGTGCTCACGGCTAGTGCTCTAACCCTTTGAACCACAGCTCCACTTCTGGCTTTTGTTGGTTAATTGGAGACAAGTCTCATGGCCTTTCTTGTCTGGGCTGGGTTCAAACCATAGTCCTCAGATCTCAGCCTCCTGAGTAGCTCAGATTGTGGGCATGAGCCCAAAACACTAGGCGTTTTTTTTGTTGTTGTTGTTTTGTTTTTAAGTTAAAGAACAGTTTTAAGTGGGAAACAGCTAGCTCTTCTGAGAAAGCATTGAGGTGATTGCTGTTAAGGTGCAGTTAATACAAACTTTAGAATGCATACTAAGAGCATTTAAAGTATAAAACATTCCTGAAACTAATCATCTGTACATCTGTGCTTTGACTATTAAAAAATTCAGACAAAATATTTAAGCAATTAATTACATTGAGCCTTTCACTATTTTTAATATTTATATAAACTTAACATTTTAATGAAAAAAGTACTTGGAATATTTAACAAAGTTGTCTCAATTTATCTGATTCATAAGCTACCAGGTTTTGTGATTTAATGGCTACTTTATTTTTTACATAGGTTTTATTTTTAAATCATCTTATTTTTTATTTAAATCTGGTTTGGATTCTGTAATTTTTTTGTGCATGGTATACACACTTTTGCATGTGCTTTAGAAACTTACCCTTTGGATCCTTTTCTTTGTGTAGATAAGCTATAGTCCAAAATTATCATTTATTTGTTTTCTTTTCTGGATACAATGTGTTATCATCATCCTTTAGGCATATTGTACAACAAACTTTTGAAAAGCCACCTTAAAATTTAAGTTATTGACAGTGGAGATGTAGCTCCAATGGTAGAATGCCAGTCCTATGTGGAAAAAAGCCAAACAAGAATTCAAGGCCCTCGAGTTCAAGGTTTAGTACTGGCACACACACAAGCAAAATTTTAAATTATTTCTTTAAAAAAATTTGCTAGTTTTTATTTAATGTAGTTTTGTGTTTTAGAGTCCCAAGACAATAACAATATCTTCACCAAGCTAATTGTAATGTTTCCTAATAGTCATTGAATGATTGGTGATTTATTTGTTAGGAGAGATAGATATTTGAAGTAGTCACTTAAATGAGGAAAGTGAAAGACTTAATGTGTATGTTATTGTAAAGAGGAGTGCCAGATTTGCCTATTAATCTTCAAATACACATTAAATTAAAGGTTCATAAATGTTAGTGTTGTATCAGTTAACAATGAAAATCGCTGGGTGCTGGTGGTTCACACCTGTAATCCTAGCTACTTAGAAGGCTGAAATCTGAGCATCGTGGTTCTCATGTAGCCAGGTAGAAAAGTCTCCTCAACTCCAGTTAACCAGTTTAAAAAAAAAAAAAGGTGGAGCTATAGCTCCAAGTGGAAGAGTGCTAGCAAAAGAGCTCAGGGAAAGTGCCCAGGTCATGAGGTCAAGCTCCATGACAGACCAAAAAACCCAGAAAACACCAAACAGTGGAAATAATTTTTAAAATACAAATCTACAGCTAGACATGGTGGTAGAATCTCTTAATCTCAGTTTTTATATGGCGAGGCAGGAGGATCACAAGTTCAAACCCAGCCTGAGCTGTATAGGAAGTTAATTCCGGGCTGGCCTGGTCTACATATGGTTGGAAAAGAGCCTGTGTAACAAGAAACACAAAAATAAAGTCCTAATTTATTGACTTCTTTCAAATATTTTACATGAAAATGATGAAGATGTCATTTGGTGGGTCAAGAAAAGAACTAGAATTACATTATTATCATTTGATGACAGTGTATATTATAGATTGCTTGACATTTGGAAGATGTATTGTTATTATTACAATTAACTTCCATATTTAACTCTTTTGACAAATATATAGTATGCTATTTAATAAATTTCTCACAAGCTGAATATTTTTTTCTGTGCTATTAAGAGAGTCTTGGAATGGATCACATATTAGATTATTAGCAGCAGCTCTGTTATAATTTATTGAGTACTTGTTATGTTTCTTACCTACTATAATCTTCAAATGAGGTGGGGGGGTGGAATATTTCAATTTACAGGAAGAAAACTGAGGCACTATTCATAGGTAAGTGGCAGAACCAGGATTCACACCCAGATTATTTTCTGATTACATACTGGTTTTTTTCTTGCTGTAAAGTGTTCTTGAGCTAAGGTTTTGTATATATTCTTAAGAAGTTCACTTTCATCACTAACTTTCATCAGACTTTTGTTGTGTGTTAGTAATAGTAGCTGTTATGCTATAGTATTTTTATTATGAATTCTCTTTGCTCCCATGAATAGCACTTCTGTCCCATTCACATTCCTTGACTGTTTAAGTCCATTCTTAGCATTGGTTTATTTCATGAAATATGCTTCTAGAATTTATAAATATTTGAAGAGATAGATTTTGTAAGAATATATACTTGTAGTTTTCACACTTAAGGGAGTATACATCTGTATACCTAGCTGACCAATGCTTTGTTTTACATGGATACTTAAAAAGATTTTGAATACTTAACATTTAACATTAAACTATTATTCCTATAATACACTGTTTACTAACCTTCATGTAGGAGCAATAGAGAAAATGATAATTACCACTATATACTGTGGTATGTAGGATCGCTCTTACAGCTCCTAGACTCCAGGATTCTAATAGCTGACTTTGGGAGCCACGACTTGTCTGCCTTTGTGATGCACTTCTCTCTTTCTTTATTCCTATTCCCATGTCAGAGGGCATTTGGATCAGTTCGAATAACCTTTGAAAAAAGTAGACTAAAATGACTGCACATTCTAAGAATATATAGTTTGAATGTTAGTGTGATTGTCTAGATTGTATAACATCTGAATTTGAGAAGGAACAGTTGTAAGATTTGATGCCTTATTATAAATTAATAAACATATTATACATACTGTTGATTTTGGGTAGTATGCATGAGTTTTAAAACTATAATTGCATAAATCTGCAAACATTAGAAAATTAGAGCAATTTTAGAATTTTAACAAGAAATACGAAAACTTATAAAAATGCTATTGTTTAAATGTTCTTTTCCCTTTGCTTTCTTAATATTATAGTCAGTGTCAGCATGATTTTCTTTTTCCAGGAAAACATTAGAGCAGCCTTGATTCTTCTCTCCATGATTCTTTACTCATTTTCTTTTTCCTGCTTTTAATTCTACCACGAGTACCTTGTTTCTAGTCTCACTTTTGACCTGATTAGTATCTCATTATTTCCATTTCCATCCATTGATGCTCTTAGAATTATTTTTCTAAAGCATATTTTGATCATGTCTCTTCTTTGCCTGTTTTTTCATTGTGTTGCTAACCTTATACTCAATTATAATTGTTGGCATTGAAGAGTCCTTATCTGTATCTTCTTGAAATGTTACAGCCTACAAAGTTTTACTGATCTTTGGACAAAATTTTCAGTAATGCTTAATAGTTCATACTTGCTTTATACTTGTCCTTCTGTACCTCAAAATGTAATAGTATAATGTATTCTCTTTCCCCATCATATAGCCTGTGTTCAATGTTTGGATGGTTGTCTAACAGAACACTGGAAATACACAAACAAATTTTCACATGTACTTTTCATTTACTTAGCTTAAATATCTATGTTAAGAAATTTTTGTGAATAGACAAATATACCATTTATCATGATAACTTACTTTCAAATAATTTAATCTATTAGATAAAGGATAATGAGGCAGTAATTTCAAAGGCATTATGCAGCAAGTGCCATGAAATTCATATTATTAACAAATCATAAAAATCATTAGCCATATCTACATTTGGGTACTTTCTTTTGTCTTTTACTATTAGATCCTCTTCACGTACATGGTTATGTACAAATAAGTTTTCACCCCATGTGATAAACATCATTCATGTGTGTTATGAAAATCAGGATACGATGTAACAAAGTGCAAACTTACGTTTAGGTAATATTCAAGATAGAATTTATTTTCTTAAAAATCAAGTAGTTATAGAACTGACTTGCTGAGATTTTAGCTTTGTGTTTGTTGGCTTTGTTTTTTTTAAGTGAAATAATAGTGCTTATATAGTTTGTGTGTAATTGTTTATAAAGACTCTTAATAATGTTAAAGATTACTTCCATTCCAGAGTTTAGTTTCATCTGGTATTCTCTTAAGATATGTGGAACCTCCTATAAATGTTTGTTAATGTTTTATGAAGAATGAGAAATCTATAATATACAGATTTGTAAAATATAAATGCGATGCTCTGTGTTCTTGCTTTGTGTTCTAATATAATTAATTTGTTTCTAGATGCTGGCATCACCATCTACATCAGGTCAGCTGTCTCAATTTGGGGCAAGTTTATACGGGCAACAAAGTAAGAATTTCATATTTATTCTGGTATACTTTAAAAAGAAAAATAAATTAATAAAAGAATTAGTGTTGACCCTGTGGATTTATTTTGCAGTTTAAGAGAAAAGATAGCCCTCAGAGTTTTATTTTGCTTACATTAGCAAAACTTCATTTCAGGCCTTACTGATTCTAAATTTGTTATTACTTGTATGTAACATAGATTGAAGTTCATTTTGACATCTTTTGTATCTGTATATTCTTACACAGTTTTTTTTAAACTTTGCTAACAAATTAAAAGCATTCTTTGTTTTCAATTAGAGGAGGTTAAAATAATTTTTTATTCAATTGGCTTTAAAGTTTGTTTTTGGTGTTTGTGTGTGCGTGTGCCTGCGTGTGCGTGTGTGTGTTTTACGTTTATTGTAAGCCATCTACTAAGCAGAAATTTGTGTATTTTTTTCCTCTAGCAAATATTTCTTTTGCTTTAGCTCTTTCTAGTGATAGGATCTTAACTTTTTTACTCCAAGTTCTTTTCTTTTTTCATTATACAAGATTATATTTTTTAAGTCAAGTAGTTGTAAAGCGCTTAGCACAGTGCCTGGCGCATAGTAAGCGCTCAATAAATGATAGCTTTTGTCATCAAATAAAAGTTTTATAAAACTTGGAATTATAAAGTATCTTCTTATTTTTCCAAATCAATTTGCCAAAATATTACATGATAATAAATGTTACCATTTTTGTTAGGAAATTAGCTGAATTCTTACTACAGTTAATAGTATCTCTGTTAATCGATGGGGAAAATTGAAACAAAATTCTGATAGGCATTAGAATAGCTTGTTACACCATTTTACCTTTAATGTCAATTTTAGCTAGTGGGAGGATGAAACTTTGTGTACCAGCATTGTTTCCTTTCCTTTTTTTCCCTATCATTTACAGTTTTCCTCTTTACCATGAAATATAACGGTTATTAATTCCTTATATACCTTAGCAGCTTCCTCAATAAACAAATATTTTAAAAGCTTCTTATTGCCTAAGAACATGTAGCTGATTTATCCAGAGATGCATATAGTCTGCTATTCAGTCTACTGTTAGATAGTAAAGTGTTGTGTTTAGACTGATTTAGTGTGGTTTTTACCCTTCTGGGAAACTTACCATAGAAATACCTAGCTATTTTAAAGGCATCTGTTATTTCAATAGAGCAACAGTAAAGACATTATTTTGTTATCATCATAAAGCCCCCAGTTTATCATAGCAGAAAATAGACATGGAATAGAGAAATTTTTCTCATGAGAAACAGATTTTATAACATTGATGATAATCAGCTATATGGACTCTTTAAAATCTGATCTGACCAAAAAAAGTGCAGTATGAAATTGTAGTTTGGCAAAGCACAAAAAATATTGGGTTTGAAAAAACAGTAACATCATTTTATGATACATCTTTGTTAAGTTCTAGATTTGTATAAATCATAGTGTTTGATGTTAAGAATATACACATTAATAAATAAGCAAATTTATTTTTCTTAGAAAAAATATTTTGAAAGTATTAACTAGGTTAAAAAGAAGCCTTATTTGCCTACCATTTCTTGTTGAACTTCACTGTATTGAGTGTATTTCAATTAACATGGTAATACAACATTTTGAATGTCTAGCTTACTCTTTGAAGTTGACATTTAGGTATTAACTTACTGAGAAATTGAACCTTAGGTCAACTGAACTGATCTTTTTTGAGGTCAAGTTACCATTGTTTTTCACAGTATAGATTTAGAACCTGCTACTAAAAGGCAGCCTAATTGCCAGCTTTCTGTTAGGAAAGTTCTTAAAGGGTCAACTAATTTGATGCAAAGTTAGAACAAATATACTTTTAGACAGAGGGACCCAAGCTCTTACATAGGACTTTGAGTGCCAAAGTTTTAACTGTTTAAGTCAGAATGATGAAATAAGAGGATCCAACGTTAATGAAGGATGGATAAATAAAGGAATTACTAGGTAGGAGTATATGATAAGTGTTATTCTTATGGTAGTATTGTAATTGTACACTGAGATTGATAGAATTCAAAGTTCTTCTTTCTACAAAGTAAAAGTAGTGAGCACTGTTAACTTTGTATTATTATTCCCAGTGTTTATTAGGAATTCATGCCATTCAAGTGTGAGGTCTACTATATGTTGTTTATTCTTGATGATTAGAAAAATAAAAGGTAGAAAGGTGGAGAAAGATAACCTCTTCAGAACTAAAAAAAGTTCCTCCTGGAGTAGATTAAAACCTATGTTTTGTTAGATTTAGGTAGATGTGATTTGTAAAGCTAGTTCATACCTAGGAAATTCTAGACTACAGGATTATATGACCTCAGGTCTTACAGAGTGATAGAGTGATTTTATCTACATGTGTAAGTAACTTTTCAATCAAAGGTTCATGTGACTCCTGTGTATTAAATAATGTCTGTAGAAACCTGTATACTGTTTTATGCAAGTGGTTTGATGCTCTCTACTTGGGTTCTTTGAATATGTAAGATTTGAGGTATTACAGATTTAAAGGCTTTCCTATAGTTATCTACTAGATTGGAATCAGCAGGGAACAAAGTATTAATTTCTCTTATTCAGTGTGTTGGCATTAGGGGTGACCTTTCATTATTCTTGTAGGACTTGAGAATGTTGTACATTTATTGATTGCTTCCTATACGAATGTTATCTCATGGACAATATGGTTAATTAGTTACGTGGATGAAACCATAATATTTATTTGCATTAAGTTCTTGAAGACCTAGGGCTGTAGTTAGAAGACGATACAAATCTTTCTGGAATCTAGACTTTGGCTTCAGATTGATAGCCAAATCTAATGCTTCTAACAGACATCCTTGATTTTATTTTATTTTTTTAAAGAACTCCTACATGAAGGTTACTTGCTTTATGGAGAACCAGAACTTAAATGGGAGGTTCAGATGTGATGCTATTGAAATTGTAAATGAAGACACATTTTAGTTGCTTAAGGAACTGAATTTGATGGCTATTTGGGAGTACCTGTCATACATACTATGCTATGCTATATGATGCAGATTGTATATAGACAAGATCATCTCTCTGCAGTGGACTTACTACTGTGATGTTATACAGTTCTTGTATGTTTTTAATTACCAGTATGTCTTAACTACTCTGTATAATACACAAGTACTTGGTAAATATTTGTTGAATGCATATTAAGCAAGATATTTGGATGTATAATATAATAGTATAAGTGCACAGTTTACTTTACTATGGAGTGACAGATTCTTCTGGTTATTTCAAAACTAGGATTAATTAGCTGTTTTGGAAAACAATCAGCAAAAAACTCACAGATGAGGTTATGTTTGATACTGGCTTTGAAGAAAAAAGTTTTAAGTTCTTTTAGCAGGGGGAACAACATTCTCAAGCATAGTGTAGACTTGGGAATGGTGTACGTTATTGAGGTAAGGGAATCCTGTTAGGTTATCAAATTGATTTCAGCCAAAAAGTACAACTCTTTTCTGTGGGATGTATCTCAAGGTCTTTGCCACTAATAAAATTCAAGAGGAAATCTATAGCATAAGATTTTCATCCATGGGGCTGGGAAGGTGGCTCAGTGGTAGAGTACTTGCCTTGCATGCATGAGGCCCTGGGTTCGATTCCTCAACACCACATAAGCAGGAAAAAAAAAAGCCGGAAGTGGCGCTGTGGCTCAAGTGGTAGAGCGCTAGCCTTGAGCTGAAGAGCTGAGGGACAGCGCCCAGGCCCAGAGTTCAGGCCCACGACCGGACCAAAAAAAAAAAAAGATTTTCATCCATATAACATCTATTTTCTACTGGAATCCTTCAGTTTATTGGACTATCCCATTTTATCTTCATTAGCTTTCTATCATAGGCATGTTTTACTGTCCCCCCCTTAAATGAACCCCAAACCCACACCACCTTATATTTATTATTTTACTGTGTGTTTGATGCTATTTTAAGCATTTTATATAAAATAGCTCAATCTTAACAACTCCCTGAGAGACTAAGGAACTTGAAGGTTATATGGATAGCATTAACTTTGTAAGGCTGACTATAATACCAGTTGAGAACTGATTTTTTTTGACACCTGGAAGTTACATAATAATTACTGAAAGTCATAACCCAAAATGACTGTAGTCTACTAAGCTATCAACTGAAGACATGGTGAAACTACTTTTTATTCATCATGTATGAAGTGTTACCTGAGTGTGGTGTTATTCTAAGAACTAACTAAGAATATACATTATTAACTCTTTAATGAAGTTGGAAAAAACATGTTTGGTTGATTGTGGTCAGTCATGTTTGGTCAATCAGTTGATTGCTGTATGCCAGTACTGGGGATTGAATGAGCCTTGAGCTGCCACTCAGCAATCTTGCTCACAGTTGGCCCTACTACTTGAGTCACGCCTCCAGTCTAGAATTTTGCTAATTAATTGGAGCTGAGTCTTGTAGACTTCTATTCCTGGGATCCCTTGGGACTGTGATCCTTAGATTCAGCCTCCTGATTAGTTAGAATTACAGTCCTGAGCTACTGTTTATTGATGTGCTGGAGTTTTGAATTCAGTCAAGGCCTCATGCTTCCTAGGGACTCCATCACTTGAACCTTGCTTATGCTTCCTGTGTTGCGCAATTACAGTCACACTCAGATTTTTCTTTGACATGGATCTTGCTTTTTTATCTTGCAGTAGCTTCAAATTATGATCCTACAATCTCTTCTAGGTAGCTAGGCTTGTAATATGAGCCACTGCATCTAACAAAAAACCCAATATGTTAACTGAAGAATGAAAAAGCTAGTAAACTGAATTAAGAGAGAAGGCAAATGAAGTAGGATGTGCCAGACCACAAACACCTGAAAAATTTAGAGAAGAATTTGGATTTTTTTTTCTAAGTTTAATGACAAAGATTTTTAAGATATGCTTGTATTGGGCTGGGAATGTGGCTCTGTCGTAAAAGTGCTAGCCTTGAGTAAAAGAAGCTTGGGGACAGTGCCCAGACCCTCAGTGCAAGACTCAGGATTGGCCCCCCCC